CCTCTGAAGATGCAGGCCACAGAGACTGGCGAAACGTTAGGAAGAACCACCTTCAGAACACGGCCAAGAAGCCCGAAAAACCCACAAGAACCAATAATTATAATATTTTTTACCAGCTCACCTGGATGTGGCCTTGGTAAACCCTGTAGAATTAGTACACTGATCCAGTCTTCTGACAGTGTATCCCTTGGGAAACAGAACCCTCTCTATCCTACAGCCAGGGGGAATCACTGCAATCATTATATGTGGCTGCATTAAGCCAGACATCTTAGTTTTCCTAGAGAAGCAGCCAAGTAACAGTGCCATAGTATAAAAGAAAGAAATGTCTGATCGGACAAAGGCCACTTGGCATCCGACTGTTCCTTTCATGCTTTGCCTAGTTCTCAATGTGCTTGGACAAACACACCCTTCCAATTTGGCAGTTTTTGGATGGTGGAGATTCTAGGCAGAGATTCTTACTGAGAAGGAATGAATACAGAGTTGAAAAGTCAAATTGCTTTCTTGTGAAGCTGCATTGTCTTGAGATGTGAGACACATTCCTCTAATTCCTTCATTTTAAGTTACTAGACTGAACTGCCACCTCAGCAGGTCACCTTATAGAATCCACAGCCTTTGCATAATGTATTTTATAAACAGCATTAATCAATTTTTAAAAGTTCTATTATAAAAATAAAAGTTCTCTCCTTTCAGAATGGTTATTTTAAAAACTGGTAGATTAAAAAAAAACATTTTAGATATACCGGAAGCCTTTTTATGCAATAAAACAGTGTTTCAGTTTTCAGTGCTAGATTCACAGCAAGCCGAATAAAGCCCTAGTAGCAGGAGATCCCTTTACATAAATATCCTTTTATATTACCTGTGTAGGAGAGAAAGGAAGAGCAGTGTTAGAGCTATTCACTTTGTTTAAAAGAGAAAAGAAACTAAGGAGATATTTGCTACTCCACTGGTGAAAAAACAGAATACACTGTGAAAATTTAATTAGAGTACTGCCCTAAGTAGAAAAGGTGACTTTGCTAATGTTTTTGAATTCTGAATATGAGACATTCCTTGAGTAATATGTAGAAGGAATGGCTCAGCCAATAAACTAGTAGAAAACACCATTTTAAACCTAATTTTTTATTTTTTATTTGTGCTGTCACATTTTGCTGGCACAATGGTACTTTGTGTTTATTCTACCCACAAATCTCATCATCCCTAGCTAACCATATGTAACTAAAGATATTCCTAGAAGGAATACATCTGGAACCTGCATGACAGTATCTAGAAATGGAAAGTATCTAGAAATGGAAAAATGCATACTGTTTTTTTCTCTTTCAAACAGATTCAAAAGGCATATGAGGAACTGCCTGGATACAAGAAGATTCATGTGACTAAATTCAGGTATGAAATTCTTATGTCAATGTTGTTACAAACCAAATTAGTAAGACATGAGCCACATCTCTTTCTGAACCAAGATTTCCTCTTCTCTCTCTCTTTTTAAAAATATTTTTTATTTTCCTTATAAAGGTAGGATAAGGTAAGGGGCAGCTGGGATAGGGGTACCCTCAAAGGGGGTGGATTTGAACAGATACATTACAAATTAATATTTTATAGTAATTCTATACATTCTCTTCTAGTAATAGTTCCACATATCAGAAAGAAATATAAACAGTGAGCGAGAGGGAAAAATCAAATTCAGACAGATATACAGTGGTGCCTCGCTTACCGGGTGCCCCGTTTAACGAATAATCCCCATACCAAAGGTGATTTTGCGATCGAAAAAGCGATCGCAAAACGATGTTTTCAATGGGGGAAAATCGCTTTGCGATTTTCCCCTACGCCCCATTTTCGCGCAGGTGATGGGCGGGACTTCCGGCGGATGGGGGGAAAGGGATTCCTCTCCCCATCCTCCGGAGCTGAGCTGAAATGCTGGCTTCAGCATGGGCTTCAGAAGGGGAGGGGGAAGGGATTCCCCCACCTCGGAGCTGTGCTGAAATGCCGGCGTCAGCGTCAGCTTCAGGAGGGGAGGGGGAAGGGAGCCATCCCTTCCCCCTACCTTCCCCCAGCTGACCGGCGGCGGCAGTGGAGGGGATGAGGGGGTGCTTCGGGACTGTGGGGAGGCAGGGCAAGGCCCAGGTGTTCCGGCGGCCCTCCTCCTACCGGCGGCAGCGGCGGCGACTGGGGTGAGGGGTGCTTCGGGGACCGCGGGGAGGCAGGGCAAGGCCCGGGTGTTCCGGTGGCTCTCCTCCCAAGCCCTCGCTTGTCTCCCGAGCTGGCTAGCTGGCTGGTTGGCAGTGCTTTACTATGATCGGTTCCCTGCTTGGGGAACTAATCACGGTAAAGCAATGCTTTTTTAACAGCTGATGAGCAGTTCCGCTGTTTTCTGGATGGATTCCTTGCTTACCAAGGTGGCGAAAATGGCCGCCCCTATGGAGGATTTCCGCTGAACGGTGAGTTTTTGCCCCATAGGAACGCATTAAACAGGATTTAATGCGTTTCTATGGGTTTTTTTGTTCCGTTTAGCGATGTTTTCGGATAGCGACGTTAATCCTGGAACGGATTAACGTCGCTATGCGGGTCACCACTGTATTGTTATTCTAATTATTGATTATGTAGCTGATAGTCTTTAAGAGTGCCTTCTCCCACCCGGTTCTGCCAGAGTCACTCGTTCCAGCCAGGCTGGGCGGCTGAGGGGCCTAACGAGGGAGGTCCTGAAGAAAAGAATGAGGAACCGGGCCTTCTCGGCAGTGGCCCGTTGCCTCTGGAACAACTTGCCTGTGGAGATCCGCCTGGCTCCCTCTCTGGGTGTCTTCAGAAGTAAACTTAAAACTTGGCTATTTGGACAGGCTTTCCCTCCTGCTGTATCTTAAATTCACCACCTTGGATTTATTGCATGTTTATTAGGGAGGTCCTGAAGAAAAGAATGAGGAACCGGGCCTTCTCGGCAGTGGCCCGTTGCCTCTGGAACAACTTGCCTGTGGAGATCCGCCTGGCTCCCTCTCTGGGTGTCTTCAGAAGTAAACTTAAAACTTGGCTATTTGGACAGGCTTTCCCTCCTGCTGTATCTTAAATTCACCACCTTGGATTTATTGCATGTTTATTGGTTTTACTGTTTTTAAATTTGTAATGCTTCCCAGAGTAGACCTTTGGTCTAGATGGGTGGGGTATAAATATAATAAAATAAAATCAAAATAAAATTTTAAAAATTATCTATCATTTATTCTGTCTCTTCTGCAGCCACACAGATAACTATGTACCAGTCCACTATTCTATCTACCTTGTAACCATGTATATAATTGTGACCAAATTTTGCGATGATCTTTTTTCTTTTTTGCATCTACCCAATCTGATAGTATGTCCATTTCTGCGGTTTCAAGGAAAGACTTCCCCTTGTCAATCACATTTTTTTTTTAAAAAAAGTGTGATACTCAGTGAATTGAAATATATTTAACTTCTGACTCATTGAGCTTTTTTTTTATGGGAAATGCCCATGCTAAGCAGCACACTTTTAGGTGTTGCAAAACACTTATAATTTATTTCAGGAAAACATAATGAAGAAGCTCCCTTAGGAACCTGCACGGCATGACCAGATTTGGTTTCCTTCATTGTTCTGAAAGCCATTTCACACTTTGCTTTATGCTTTCTCCCTTTTTTCCACTGCACTAATGCTCTTGAACAGAATAGTTTTGTTTACAGCAGACACATTATTATTATTATTATTATTATTATTATTATTATTATTATTATTATTATTATTATTATTATTATTATTATTATTATTATGTTGTTGTTGTTGTTGTTGTTGTTGTTGTTGTTGTTGTTGTTGTTGTTGTTGTTGTTGTTGTTGTTGTTAAGAAAAAGAATATCTTGATACATTAAGACATCCCGCCAAAAAAGGGAAACCACTTTGAAATTTGAAATTTTAGATTACTGCATTATAGTGCAAAGATCCATATTTTTGGTCAGCAACAGTATTCATAAAAATCTGTGTTATTCCATGGAAAACTAATACGTTGCATAAAAACCTACATTTTGCACAAAGCAGAAAAATTCCTATGCACACTGCTAGGTTTTCTTAGCAAAATACCACTTTTGTACAAAAAACTCTGCATTTTTTTTAAAAAAATTCCAATAGACAAACATGAAAAAGAATAAATATATATAAAAAAACTCCCACAAAAATCTGTTAGGTTTATCCAGAATTTTTCATTCTCTCCTGCAAGATGAAAAAAGAGAAGGTTTACATCATTACGCTTCACTGACCTCTTTGATTTCTTGGTTTCTAAACAATATTGGCCGCAGTCCCATAGAAAATTACTCATTAGCTTGCTTCCACAAAGGCCAAAGAAGGACTGAGCCTTTACCTGTGATCTCTCTTTGTAGTGGAAGAAGTATTTGACCACTCAGGTGAATAAAGCTTCAGGAAAGATGTCCGTAGACGCCTGACTATGAGCCAAAGTCTCTTCATTTGGGTAGATGAGACTTTTACACTTTTTTTAAAAGAAAATTTTTCTAGAGTTTGAACATTTCTTCATCAATCTGAGAAAGAAGAAATTGGGCTTAGAAACATTTGATTGAAGAAGATGAATGACAATAGGTTTAAGTTCTCAGCAGATGGTACACAGCCAACCCTCCATATAGACATCTAATAAACCTGTGATCATAAAGTTGGATCTGTTTTAAACTGACCAATATCATGAAGGGAGGGTATTCAGATCTTACCCATTCAAACTGTGCTTGCATTACATATGTATCCTTGTACTCCCTTCCAAAGCAGGATTAGTTATTTTAT